TTATTGTTTGGAGACATATCTGTGATTTATGAGAGTCGAGGGGGAGTTGTCAGTCACCAAACTTTTTAATTAATTTTAGTGTGAAGGTGGCAAATCCAACTAGTCACAAACTGAAGCTTGGTCATTGCTCCTTGTTTTTTTTGTTTTTTTTAAACAAGTTTCCAAAACAGAGTTTTACTCGGTTAAGCTAAGATATTTCCCCAGCAACAAGCACATTTGGGGCTTTACCTAATCCAGTCAGCCAACATTAATTGCAAAAATAGACTTGCACAAGAGGCAATCAGTGTTTTTATTAATCAAGCATAAGACAACATCATGTATCTTTAATAATCCTGTACAAAACAACCGTCATATGTTAAGGTCATCAGACTAAGAAGGTCGTGGTTAACAGATCGATTCACCTGCTCACCAAAAATCATTCGGTACCTTCATCTTTCATTGCAGTTCAGGATTTGTATGAATCAAGAGCCAAAATGGTAAAAAAAAAAAAAAAAAAGCTTAAATCTCACATGTAAACTAATGAATTGTATATTAGAAAAAATTTATGAGAACCACTTAGGCCAATTGATCCCTATAAAACAGATTAAACCCGCAATAAAACTGAAGTAACTGGAGCTAGTAAATAATGTTTATTGGATTCATGTAACAACATTTCCTCACAGTGGACTACGAGTGGGATGGAAAAGAGGACTGGGTTGTTGGGTATCTTCTTTACGAGTTAAAATTGTTGTTATACAGTAGCATTCTGGCAAAAAAAAAGTATGACGTACAATGTTTTTGTTTACTCCAGCTCTGTGTTTTGTTTTTACTGGTTCTGTGCCAAGAACCGTAGCAATCTTGTAAAGCCAGTTCGTCTGATATTTCTGGCCTTTTCATGTCTCTTATGTTGGCTAATTGCCACTCATTTGTTCATCATCGCTCATCCGTTTCCTCGGGGCATTTTCCAGTTGGTTTCTCTTTGTACTCCTGTTTGCTTTTATCAATCTGCATACTTTTTTTTTGTTTTGTTTTACATTTTGGATTTTGTGCTCGGCGGCACTTTAAATTTTGTATATTGTGGTTCATGTTTTTACTTTAGTAGCAACAAGTTACCTCGAGGTTCAACTAATTACTTATTATTACCTTATGTCACTCGGACATAAAAAGTGGATCTAACAATGGTGAAAGTTGCTCAGTAGTAATAAATGATACCAAGAACATAGTATAAACACCAATGCTGTACATTTCTTGTCATGTTCACCGACAATTTTCTGGAGAGGAAATGGGAGTTCGATGGGGGTAGGGGGGGTTTCATTTTCCGACTTGAACAACTTTCAAAATGTGCTTACCTTAACGTTACAATAGACCTCGGGTTTGTTGCTTCTGTTTTACCGTTTGCCCTTCACACTATTTAAAAACCACCTAGTACTCCTTTTATCTTTTTCATTTCATCCCTACACTTCCTTTACCATCGCTGGCTGCTGCCGTTTCTTCCCGCTCCGCTTTTTGTAGCTCTCTAAAGGCTGACGTACGGCAGTTTAAACGCACACCGGCGAACAAACAGTTCCCTCGTCATTTCACTTGATGTCACGCCGCACGCATAAATAAAGCTAATACTATCAGAGACGCTCTCTGTCGGCGTCGAGGTGTTTGCACGAGCGCGTGTCTGGGTATAAACACACCTCCTTGAACCTTCCTCCACCTGCCGCGACTGACTGGAGGCAGTGTGTTGAGCGCTCTTTGTGTCTTTCTTGTTGTTGACATTCAAACAGTGGAGTAGGTTTTGTTGCCAGTGAAGTGCCAGAGGTGGGATCCATCCCGCATTATATAGACACGTGTTGACAAAAGAGGCGCATTTCTGAAATACAAGCACGGTTTGGGGATTTGTGAGCACTCACACATATGTGGGGAGGACTAATAAACACAAACGAGGCATGAATCATGTTTTGCACCCTTGGTGTAGGACCTTCCATCCATCATCCCCGTGTGTTTGTGTGCGCAGGTTGCTGCACTCCTAATTTGAGCAGAGAATGAGTGACTGTTATCATTTTCCCGCCCTTGACCTGCACCCGCTCCGGCGACAAAACACACCAGACTGTGAGAAGATTGAAAGAGGGGACTGAAGAGAAAACTAAATAAACAACATGACAAAATAAAAAAAGGGTAGTACGAAGTAAGAAGCACGGTGTTTCTAGCGTAATAATTAAATTTATTGGCTGCTTGTTAACAAAAATAGCAAATCAGCCAATACACTGCAGAGGCGACTTGCTGAATGTTCAAACTGAGCATAAGAATGACGAGACAATGGTATTCCAGTGACCTTGAACGTGGCATTGCTGGTACGACGAGGGCTGCGTGGAGTATTTCAAGAAACTTCTGATCTACAGGGATTTCTCAACCGTTTCTCAGTTCGGAAAAGAAATGTTCAAAAAAGAGAAAACGTTTACCGAGCATTAGCTGTAGGGAAGGAAATGTCTTACTGAGGTCAGACTGGTTCATGGTAGTGTAAAGGCCACATTAGCAGTTGTGGAAATGGAGATTTGCATTATGGATGTGTAGCTAAAGAAAAAAAAAAAATCACAACAGCAGGATGTTATCATTTTCTATTTGCACCAAGATTTCAGCCTTATTGATCAAAATCTTGCAGGAATGTTGGACATCTTGTTAATTCTATGCTAAAATTGATTAATTCAGTTTTGAAGGTTAAACAGGTTATAACTCTGAAAATCTGATTTGAAGAAAACGTAGCGAGTGTCAAAAATTAAATCTCCAGACATAAAATATCGTCAAAATACGGCATTAGAGTTGTCAGCCGATGAACGAGCTTCTGTTTTCCTCATGCCGACTTTACGCTGCAGTTGTAAACTACGGAAAGCAGTCGGGAGACGAACCAAAAGCGAGCGAGGAATATGGATTCCGAGCCGCCTGACTGAAACTTTGTGTGTGTCGGAGAAGTTTAAATCCTTAAAAGTTAGTGAAAATGTGCCCTCGTTGAAAATATGTTTTTTTTTTTCTCTTTTTACATCTCTTCCCATCAGTTTTTTGACATTATCTGGGGGTTCTAATGGGATCCTGGCTGATGCGCGCACACAAGCACACACTTCACAGGCCTTTTGATCTGGCTCATGCTGAGGTGACATCCCCCTGCCAGTAACGAGGCTCGCTCTTGAGGAAAGGAGAACCCGAGGTCGCAGAGGCGACTACAATTCCGCAGGCTTTCATTTAGTGCTCGGCTAAACCGTACCCACCTGTCTTTGAGCCAAGATTAAAGACCTTCAAAAACAGACAAAGGGAAAAAGGGGAAAAAGAAAGCGTGGGGGGTTGGGGGGGGGGGCCAAAAAGGAAAAGTTCAATAACAACAAAAAAATCCTCAGCTGTCAAAACTCAATGTCATTGTATCCCGAAAGGGAATTGGTAATTGCCCATGTAGGTAAGGAAGAAGAGGATGTGGAGAAAGAAGAGACCCAAGCTAAGGTTCTCCAGCTAACCAACAGCGTTTATCGGCTGGACATGTCATCTGTAGCCTCAGTCAGAGAGAGAGAGAGACAGAGGTCGGCTCATTCGCAAAGTGGCGTCACCTCAGCTCCATTGGTCTAAAAGAGTACGGTCGTCAAAGGCGAAATAAAGCTCAACCGCACTCAGTATCCGGCGGATAAAAGACGGAGTAGTGAGTCCGCCCTTACTGCAACGAGGAAACAAAAGCAATGCTGCCGTGAGTCATAAAGAATCATCACCAGCTGCTTTGTGGTGACTCCAACCAGCACTATTTAATGTATCACAGACAGAGCCGGAAATACTCTGACATTATTGCGCGCTACCAATAGAAAGGAAACCTAATCTGTACAGCATTACGAAGGTTTGACTGAATTGACACGCCGAGCAAAATACATTTGTCTTCACATATTACAATTGACTTGCTTTCTTCCGTCTCACTTCCTTTTTTACAGACAATACAACCGGTATTGCTTAAGCAGCCTGTCATTACTGGATCATGGCACTGCTGCCATTAACTCTGTGGCTTTCTGTCCCATAGAAAGTCTCTGTTCAATGTTTTTGCTACCTATCGGGATGATTGTAGGTCAGTGGGTAGAGTCTTGTAGTATGTTGACGCCAGTGAACTCATGCCACCTGTTGATGTGCCCTGGGGCAAGGCACTTAAACCCAAGTTGCCAAACCAATATTATCTTCTAACAATTTCAGTAAATTCAGTCGCAAATTCCATACTCTAGAATATATTCCCTCAACCTATTTGGGTCTTTTTTTTTTTTTTCCCCAACTTGTCTTCATCATTTACACTGCAATATTTGAATCATCTGATTTAGATTTTTCTACCATTTCGGAGCTGAAATTGAAAAGCAGCTCTATTGAAATACTCCTGCTTGTGCTTTTATTTGTTTCCAAGTGCACCTGTTTCAGTAAATCCTTCTAAAACTCAACGGGAAGCTCTTGTGCGGCACAAAAAAAAAAAGACTTCAAAAGACGTGACCCACTCCAGGACTTCTCACAAATCTTGAAGACTGCTCCACAGCATTCTTGGAGTAACAAAGATGGTGATTGGCTGTATTTATTCAGGTTTATTTAAGACGTACTTTAATTCGCTACGATACGCACAGGAATTCACTTACTCGAGAGTTTGAGGGAGGCAGATCAAAAGGCCAGACTTACGGTTAAGAGCCACTTCAAAGGTCGCACAGAAGATGGTGGGACAAGGCCTTAGCTTCCTTAACTAGGCTCATGAAACAGAAAGTTGAAACAAAAAGCTCTGTCACAGCCCATTTGTTCTAAGAGGTACAACATTTTTTGCTCTGCGACCGCAATCAATCTTGACGTGAAGTGACAGAAAAATAAACATATTTTAGTCAAACGCGCACAGGGACGGGAACAAAGAGCCAGAGCCTGTCTCCATTTAAAGCTCCCATCCTCATCACGAAACCTCAACAGGATCGCTTTGACGTTCCCCGTCCAAACAAAGCAATCCGCCCTAGCCAGAACAAGGTCCCTCATTAACTATTAACACTAACTTGCGAGGCGGTGCTGATATAAACCCCGGTGTCTTCGCTTTCGGAAGAGGACAGATTGTTTAGGCCCGTCTGACAGATTTTCGACTCTTCGGCCACTTTGGAAGCAGCGCTACGTTCGACGAGGATCCCGTCACAGATGGTCACTCTTCTGTACATGTGCGTTAGGAAAAACTCTGAATTCAGGGAATGCCCTTAAATGTCTTTGCAGCAGTCTGCTTTTAATATTTTAAGGTGCTAAGCATAATACTTGCATGCTCTGGGAGAGAGGAATTCACTTCAAAGTAAAGTTGTGTTTAACCTAGAAAACATGGCAATTCAGTGAATTGTGTGTGTGTGTGCGCGTTCGTGTGTGTGTGTGGCTAAGCAGTCACAGAAATAAAATGTCCACAACACTCGGGGAGCGTCCTCGCGTACGGCCGGTGTTTGTCAACGCAAAGACGGAGATGCATACGCTCGCCTTCCCAGCGATCCGGTCTGTGTGTGTTCCCTATTCTCTCCGGCCCTCTGCAAACCACTGCCTCGTCTTTCTTTTTTCTTTTCTTTCTTTCTTTTTTTTTTTTCTTTCCTCTTTTGGTGCCTCTGACACGCTTGTACATTTGGAGTTCTTTTTCTTTTTCGCCGCGCTGCTATGTCACGATCAATTTACCGCCCGGCACATGACGGCCTGTAGCGCCTCGGAGGATTTGAAGGACTTTTGTGAGCAATCCCACAGCCTGCCTCGCTTTTTTTTTTCTCTCTCTCTCTCTCCCACATAACAAAACGGGCATTTGTATTCTTATCCCGCTTTGGCCCGCCGAGCGAGACCGTGTCCCAGCTTTTTGCCTCTTCCCGGTTATTGTTTGCAATGGGGGAGGGGGCAGTCGCACCAAATCTCCCCAAACAGTAACCAAGTGGCCGCTTCTTCACCCATTTCTTTACCCGCTCCGTTTCCAACTGTTTGAAGTCTTGCTTGCGCTCAACATATCAATGATTCACACGCAAGCATGAGGAGAAGATAAAGTGGCAAGGCATTTTGCAGACATCACAGTCAATCAGGGCTCATTTGGTCAGGGACCAAGAGAAATCCAGCCCGTCGCCTTAAATAGCGACAAGAGTGGGAGGCGGCGGCAATAACGGTATGTTTGTGTACCTGCCCGTTGTGTGACGCGCCTCTGCCAGCATTCGACACAAATATGGTTTGGCAAACATGGAAAGAAAAGAGAATCAACACATGAAAAGCCACTCTGTTCCATATTTCAATTTACCTCGTAATTCGAGCTCAAACACAGCAAGCCAAAACGGTTTTAAGCTCTGTGTGAGGAAACCCAACAAAAACCCAGAGACATGTTCAGCGTTTCACTTGTTTTCAGACCAAAACCGCAAAAAAAAAAAAAAAAAGTGCTGAAAAATGCTAAGCAGCCTGGCTAATAAGCAACCAAAGCGAGAACGTGTCTTCGAAGATATTTGCAATTCAACAACTGTCATTAGAGTTATGCATGCCACCCCGATCTAGCCAAAATACTATATTATTATTCCGCTTTCATATTCCGGTTGGCGCTTCTGCCACTGGCAAGGCTGTAGCTGAGGGTGTGCAGTTTCTCTCACGTTATTAATCTGGCCGGGACCGAATGTATTCTCGCAACCCACATTTTTTGCGTTGCTTTGGCTTAGCTACTTTCTCTCCCTCTGCTTTTCCTTCCCTCCATCTTTCACACTTCCTCCATCGCCCTCTCTTTCTCGTAAAACCCTCGGCGAAGACGCCTGCCGACGAGCGTCCGAGACTGGGAACTTTTACGGCAGACTCTCCTTTCACCCATCCTTCTAATTGAATAATGCAGCGTAGATAGAAAAAAAAAACAAAAAAAAACGCTGCCTCATTAAAAGAGCCCTCTCTGGATTAAAACGCTGAGGCGCGCACATTTCCGGCACGCAGAGGTAACTTAATGTATTCGGTTACCTTCAGTAATGAGGTGAAAATGAGATCTGACCAATGGGCTTGGATTTTTATCAGGTTTTGAGTGAAGACCAGTGCCTGTGGCACATTCTCACTTAGTGGCTTACGAGGCCTTTATTTAACGTTCCCTCGGCAGAACTGAGTGTGTTTTTCTTCATATCCAATTGCAAATGTGGACGGCGGAAAGAAAATGGCAGTTTATTTGCTAATGAATGCAGAAATGCACACTTCGCAACTCCGAGTCGACCTTCTGCACTCTGCCCATCGGAAGAAACGCACCCTCAAAGCATGACGCTGCCACCACTGTGCATACCGCCGAGGGCGTGGTTCGGCGTTTCGCAGCACACATTTTGCATCTGGTTCACATTTAACCAGCTCCCCTACATGGTCTGTGGAAATCTGGATTACTTATGGATTTCTTTCAACAAGGGTTTTCTTCATGTCTACCTACTGATAGATCCTCCTGCTTGAATTGCTGCACCTAAATACAATTTTATGGCCTGTCTGGTGAGTTCCTCGTCATTCACGATGTGTCATTTCCCCACCACTTAGCAGCTGAAGCACTACTTATAAAATAGTTTGAAGTCAGAACCTTAGAAAGTGAAGGTTTATAACTAATCATTGCACAATATGTCACTTTGACCCCAATATATGACACAAAACATATTAAACAGGTCTATTATTCGTCATCTCTTTTACTCTATGCAACTTCACAGAATGTCATTTGAAGTTATCACAAAGGTCTGGCAAACTTTAAACTTAAACTTTTTACAGCTTTTTTTTTTTTTCCATTTATGCTTTTATTGTCAACAATTCTGTGCATAACAGAGACTACCCAAAATGCAACATACAGCAAAGGCAGAGTTTGTCTCGATGTTAGCGTAGCAATAATTCATGAGCCAAGCGTGTAAGGACCGTCAGCATCATCTAAGTGTAACATTTTTTTTTTTATTTCACTTTTCTAATTGGTGCAGAAAGCCTCCTGAAGCATCCTAATGAGAAACTTCTGCATATTTCTTCCAGATTATTTTTGTTTATTTGTTCACTCACTCATTTATTATTAACTCTTTTTTTTGGTTTTGTTTTTTGTTATTTTTGCAAAGAAAGAAAAAAAAAAGTGACCTGAGCTAGCTCAAAATTTAGGCTTACGCTCGGTTTTCATCATGGTGCCAGATCAGTATTTAAACCAAGAAAAAAAAAACAAGAAAAAAGAAAGAAAACAAGCTGTATTTGAGCTTGATTACCCCAGAAGTGGCTGATTTTTTTATTTTTTTTACAATCTGGTTTCTGAATTCACTAGTTTTTCTTTCTCCATTCTGAATCCATCAAAAGGCTCATTAACTGTGCAGACATGATTGATAACCTTCTTTGAAAGCACCTTGATTTTTCTCATCTTTCAGCCTTTCTGGCTGCTTTTTGCGGAAAACAAAACGTCCGTAATGACGCTACGTTCTAAATTCAAATTTATCGACCTAATCCCAGAGTGAATGTGAGATTTCTTTGTCCAATATCGAAATGGAGAGCTTTCTCATTACCCCAGGCAAATGAAACCACTCCAAACAACACCAAGGCAGCCATCTCTCATTCAAGGCACTGGAATGAGGAATAATAAATAAAAAGAAATAACAATAAGAAAGGGTAAAAGTTAAAGTTTAATTTGCAAAAACGGCACACTGACTAATGAATCCCCATTGTTTACAGCTCCTTTTTCTTTTTTCTTTTTTTTTTTTTGGCCCTTTGTTTTAGTGGAGCATGCTTATTTAGAAAAATGAAGGCCACAAAGATCAGGAGAGCAAAAGAGAGGAAGGGAGCGGAGGGGGAAAAAAGGTGTTTGTGTAGAAAACATCTAATTTGGACTTTTCTGAGGCGATCCAGCCGTGCTCTGCCAAAATGAGATGTTGGAGTGTAAGTGGAAGACAAGAAACAGCTTTCATGAGGAGTACATTGCCAGAGGCATTTAATGACGGGGGGTTAGCAACAGACATCGCTCCCGCGAGCTCCAGATATGAGTTGAATTATTACTGTATACAGAATCCAACATCTTCTTGTTGTAACACTGCATAAATCTAGTAAGAAAAGAAAGGGAAAGGTGGGTCGGGGAGGGGGATGAAGAGCAGCCCAAAGATGGAGTGGAAGGCAGAAGTCATTTCTCATAAGAATTTTATTTACGACATACTCCAAAGTCCCAAGAATCCGAAGTGATCTCTGCATTTCAGACGTCAGCATTCCCCCTTAAAAGAAGGAACAGAGACATTTCTAGGTGACTCATGAGTTTACCTCTCAACGTTAGGCACCCTTCGTTTATTCGCACAGTGAATTTCTACGTTTTTCCATCCTGGGGAAATGACGGATAAACAAATTCATAAACAGTGCATTCTTAGTCAAGTTGTTGATTTCTGTCCCTCAGACCACATAGCTGGATTACTCACTGTCCTTCTAGTGTTTTCCCACTCTTTTCCTGCGATTTTAACCTGGGGTGCTTCAAATGTTGAGCATTATGTCCTGAGAACCACTGCTGCCTTAGTTTGTAGCCTTTGCTTAAAAGGGGGGGAAAATATGCATCACTCAGACAGACTGCCATCTTATAGTACAATCAAGCAACTTTAGTTGTCATGCCAACGTTGTTTATGTCAAAATAACTAGTAAGAAACAAATATGCCAATTTCAAGGCATATCCGACGCCTTGCCGTGAGCTGGGCTGTTAGTGTCCAACTCCTGCGCCGTACTCTCTTTCTTTCTTTCCTCAAGAAGATAAACTACTTGCTCTTCTATTTAGACTACTTTATGTTGTCCATTTTTGGTCAAGCTTGGACGACTTACTAAAACCCTACAGAGAACCGATCAGCAACTCTAACAAGGCTTTATTTGAAGGTATAAGGTAGGTGTGGATATGCTGATAAAAAGTAGTTAAAAATTCTAGATGTCTTTTATGGCAATAAGTTCTTTTGTATATCTTACTTTTTACAGGGAAAGACATGAAAGGAGAAAAACTAGAATCATAAGTAAAACTTAGCAGTCATCAAATAAGCTACTTCAATGCACCAATTGCATTAGGTTGTGCAGTTTGTAAAGCTAAACAGCACAAAGTAATTGTTCTGGATTATAGTTTTAAACAAAACTGAATCTTACGGGGAAAACAGAGCAAAAAATAAACAAACTCCACACTAACCATACCAAAAATCAAAATCCTTATCACAACCGGCAATCCTCGCAAATATTGTTA